GCATTCCCCTGCACTCAGTCCAGCCCGGTGTGGCTGCAGAAAAGTGTGGGGAAGCAGAAGATCTCAGGCGTCAGTGCTGAGTTGCAGCAACCAGAGAGATGGAGGTGCTGGAGGAAAAGGTAGGGGAATTAAAAACCACAGATACCTACACAGCACCTAGAATCAAAAGGTCATGTTTGGTAGGAGAGCTTGTCTGAGGTCTATACAAGAATGATGGTTTGTTTTGACAAGAAACACTCAGAGGAGAAGACACATGCTTTAGGGGACTCCTTTGTAAATCACCAAAAAAGTCCATGGGTTCAGAGGAAAATGAGGCAGGTATATGCCTGGAAAACTCTACTACGTCTTGTAACAGCTACGATCATGTCATTAGTTTCTGAAACAGTAATAAAGCCTGTGCTGATCGTCTTTGGAGGATGGAGCCTCCAGAGAAGGGGGTGCTAAAGCCCAGGTGCCCCAAGAGCCGAGATCAGGACTTGCACTATGTTAGCACTGGCTCAGCATGCCTTGGGCTGTGTTCCATGGGCCAAAAAGCTCCATTCTCCTGGAGAGGAAAGACTGGGACCAGAGACATCCCAAACACAGCGCGCTACAAACTGTCAGGGGGAAGCTCCCTGGGGTCTGTGCACCCACACCATGCCCATCAAGGCATCCCCACTTCAATTAATTATTCCTGCTCGCTTCTGTCACGTGACTAACACCACAGAAAGCATGAGCTTTTATAAATACATTTCAAACAAAAGAACATACTTAACTTTAACAGAGGGTTATACAACAAATACTAATTAACCAAGAATGTAAGCTAAATATATTTACCTTTTATAGCAGAACAACTCAGAGCTCACAGCGATTCTCTGAGTTAAAAAAGGCTGTGAAAAGGACAGGCTTCTGATGAAACATCTTGTTCTACTTTCTAACAGAAATTCAAAGTGATATCAGAATTTCCAGTGAAATCGAGAAGCTGGGGCTTGATGTGGTATACAGGGATTTGGAAGTTCTACTTCTTTTCCACTTGAAGTCAATGAGATGTCTGCCACTGAGTTCAGTGGGAGTAAGACTGGAGGATCTGGCAATGCCTTTGGGTATTCCTGACTGCACGTTAGGAGCTTGGACTTTTGGTGTGGGCTTGTTTTTTATATGCAAGAATTGTCTCACTCCCTTAGATAAATACAAATTGCAACTCACTTTATAGATATGCTAGAGCTTTTGCAGCCTTTACAATCTGTCATATAAATCCATACTCAAGTGTCAATGTGTGAAGGGGCTGCTTTAGAGGTCCTCTGGGTGAAAATATGAATGGAATTTCTAGAAGAAATGCCCTCAAAGATGAATAATTTGTCTACTTTGCCAGTTACTTTAGAAATAAGCTGTTAATGGTAAGAGCCACTAGACTGAATTCAACAGTATTTTCTTCTTTCTACCTGTAACTCACGACTACCAGAGTTGGGAGTTTTGGTGGGAGAACTTGCTGAAAATAAACTATTGAAATTGAGGCTCAGACACAGGTAAGCGAACGTCAGCCTCACTGTACCTCTAAAGGTTGTTAACTTTAGTGGCAATTTGGGTATGCAGGGAAAGCAGCCTCAAGTAGCTATAAGAAAAGGAATTAATAATATCATTTCTGATATAATTTCCATGATATAATTAATTATAATCATTTCTGATATAATTTCCATGACCACCATCATTATGCTGTTGTTGGTCACAATTTCTTTTCTATGATTTTCATTTTCCTTGCCTTTTCACCCTCTGAAAGGCCAGCTTGCTTTCTTGCACGGTGTTTCATTCAACAAGCCAACTGGAACGGCGTGTAAAAGTAGTACGTAAGGTGAGTGTGAGTGGTTTAGAAATCATCTTTGACAGTGACTGTTTAACCCTCTTCTCCTTTGTCACACCAGTGGTACACTACTCAAATTCTCTCCTTTTTAGATGACAGAATTTATGTAGCCCATAAAAATCTACTGGAAAGAGGGCATCTACCCCCTTTAATGCCTAATCTGGCACCTTTTACTTATGCAAATTTAATCAATGGACAAATGGTCTCCTCACAGCAGCTGCACTTATACAAAAAACATCAAAGACTTTGACAAAGTTATTCTGAAACAACTGTGGGATCACTGAAATGCAATATTTGGCCTCCGAGTTCACATCACCAGCCATCCGCTGACATGAGTAAGACTTCCAGAATTGGGTCCTTTCTCTCCCCAAATTAGAGCCAGCCACTTAACTTGGGAACAGCCAAGCAGAGCGAGGTGAGCGCGCTGAGCACAGTCAATCCTAACAAATTACAATAAGAAATGTATCACACTGCCTGCTGTCAGGTGTAATTTATATCATACCAGAGGGGTGACTGGAGAGCAGGTATAGGCAGGAACTGGTCATACCTATACTTGCTCCTGCTGGGCCTGATCTTGCAAGCTGCTGAGAGCTCTTCCCTCCCATTGAAGTCAACGTGAACTGAGTTTGTTCAGGACCTAACAGGATTCGGCCTCCTCAAAATACTATGGAAGGGTAAACACGATTTGATGGTTTGGGTTTTTTTTTTTTCTGTTTCCCATTACCATGTAATGTCTCTGTGTATGCATACCCTGACCGTACTTATACACAAGCTCACAATCTGTATGTGTCCTTAAACATACATGTACAGCATATACTACAAGCTAAAAGCCTACTCAGGATTTTGGAGCACAGAGAAAGAAATAGAGGTTATAACACAAATAAGCAGGAAGTTTATTCCCACAGCTTTCAATTTTAGTGAGTGCAAACTGTATTTTATGTGACTGGAGCTAAGATTTAGCAAAGCATTTCAGCATACATCCTTTGCTGAAATACAATCTACAAATTTGTTTGATTTCTTAGATTTGAAGCTTTTAAGCTCATGTTCAAACCAAGAGTTTAATATGCTGTCCAAAATAATCCAGAAAGCTCTGGAGTGTGGCGGAGTACGGCTATGCACCAAATTTTAAAAAAATAAATAAAAAATTACAGTCTACCCTCCATCCATATAACCCTCCTTCATAACGTATGTAGCAATACGTCCTATTTAGCATGCTGAAGGCTTATATTTTGCTGTAAAAGCATACATGGCTACTATTTAACCTTTGTGATTTACAGGTCTCATCCTCTAAGCTGTTACTCCAGTGAGAACTGAAGTTTCAGCAGCTGAAAAAGCATTCAAGCCTTCTGAGATAACACAGCAATACAAACGTAAGACAATACACAGAAAAACACCAGGCAGCTCGTGAGCTCTGGTAAGGCACAGTTTCGTACTTTTAGTTTAAACAAAGTACAAAACCTGAAGAAATGCACTTTTGTTATTTAGCAAACAGAAGAAAAAAAGAAAGTGGTTTAGATCAGTACTCCGTTCTTTTTAAATAAAATCTGTGAATTTATGTATATTCTCGCAAAGGTTCCATAACTGAAATTTTTATTAAGTAAGTCTAATATGGGGCATATTTTTAAAATTGTGTCATCAGTGATATTTTAAAATGTGGAAACAGAGGTGCTACTCCATTACAACTGCTGAATCTTCCCTGTATTTTTTAATACTACGAAGCGTTTGTCTGCTTCTGTTATAAATCCCTCCTCACTGAAGACATTTCTCCCCTACAATTAAAGAAGTACCACACAGACATCATTAAACAGACACTGTCCAGAAAAATCATACTGCTTTGGCCTAGCCATAAAATATATGTATTTTAATAATTGTTTATTTTCCACAGACAATTTCATCAGTTCCCTCTCCTCGGTATGAAATCACGGCCATATGCTTTATGACATCAGAGGCGTTACAAGGTGTCTCCACAAATGTCATTTATTGCTTGGGAAACCTGCCAAATCTGTGTAAAATTCCCTAGTTCTTTTAAAGGAAAAATCTTCAAATGAAACTAGAGCTTTACACTGGTTGGCATACCAAAAAAATATATCTATCCCTTATGGAAATACTGGCCATGCAGGTAGAAAAACCTCTGGCAACAAAACCTGCTGACCTGGGCTTTTGAGTCAATAGTGCCTCCTTTAACCAGTCTGCTGGGCACCCCGGCACTGCACATCCACAGCTGCTCTTGGTTACAGATGAGGCACTTACCCTTCCGAAAAACAAGCAGTCTGAATGACAAAAAGCTGAATTGTTTTAGCGATCGTAACTGTAAATCTAAATCGGATGTATTTTAACGTAGTGCTCCAATGAATATGCTTTAACCCTTAAAACAGAGGTGCCTTCCACGCTACTGTCACAGGCCCGATGCTGCTCCAGATTCCTCATCCTTCACAATGCCCAGTAACCCGCAGGACTGGGAGCCGGGCAAATCATAAAGAGCCTCTGTGTCATACACACAAATATACTCTCATGCCACATCTATTCAGAATTTGACGTATCTGTAGTCCACTCTGTGATAATACTGGCCAGATCCAAATAAATCTTGTCAGACATGTCACTAACCTGTCCAGCATAGATCAGCTACCTTTAAACATGCAAAGATTCAGTCTAATCTGCAGCTGCAAGCAGACCGAGCAGGTCTGCCAACCACCGCCCAAAGAAAATGACCACTGACACCGAGGCACACAACTACCACTAAGGTTAGGATTTTGGCTGGCCGACAGAAGCATCCATGAGCCCTAGTGTAACAGAGCTGTTCTGTTTTCTTAAAGGAAGAAAACAAAGGAATTTTTTCCCCTAAATCTGAAGGAAAGAAGTTGCTTGGTACAGTTGGAAATAATCTAGGGCGGCACACCAACAGGTGCTTCAAACGTATCAGACGAGTGCAGAAGACGTTGAAAGAGAAAATTAATAGAGTCTCTAAATAATACATAAGTTTTACAGGCTTTTTTTTCCTGTAGAACCCCAGTGAAGTTACTATATAAATCGGAAACTGAATTATTCATAACTAGTGAATATATAATAAATCGTATTTCTCACCGAAATATTCCTCACAGGTACATGCGCCTTTCCATGCGATGAACAGAAATGGGCAGCGAGCCTGAAAATGCCAAGGTCTTACCTGGAGTCTGGGTACTTTGTCAAGGTAGCCAGGCTGCTGGTGTACATGTGTCCTCCTACATCGATGTGCACGGGAGCATTGGACTTGGTGAGTTGAGCTGGGAGAGGAATTCCTTGAGCAGCCAGAGGAGACACCGGGGACCGTGTTAGAGACAGACGGGACATGCTTCTTCCCTCCTGCAAAGGGAAGGCAAAAAAGAACAGTTTCTCTTAAATGTAGCAGTGTGTTACCTTTCTTTCCAGTGTGATCACAGATCTAATCAGATCATTTTTGCATCTGCCTGATCACATATTCAGCTAACAAATTATTGCCACCACTGTAATTAAGTGTATTTGCATCATTTTCTTCAAAGTACCAGAGGGGAAGAGAAAGATGCTTATTAGCAATAAGAAATCAAGAAAAAAATTTTTCAAGGTGTCAGCCTCAAGGGGCATAAAACAAACTGCAAAATTCTAATTAAAGGTCGCAGGCTTATGTGTTAGATGTGAAATATCCCCTGACAAACGAATAACCAATTTGTGAATTGGGATTCAGGGGGTTTTGCAAGTTTGTCTCAGTAACGAGACACCTCTAAATTAGTGACTTCCTCGGTACCTAAGGCATTTAGTTTATACATGTAGTAAATTTCACATCAAACTAAGATAAATTTTCTGGTTTATTTTCAATAATTGTGAAATAAATGGATAAATTTCAGTTAAGCCTTAATATTAGACATAAAGAACTAGTAAGCTTTCAAACTGAAGGAAATTAATACCTGGAAGCAGTGAAAACAGGAAGATCTATAAACTGACCCATGCTTTCATGACAAGACGCATTAGAAATAACTGTACAATCTGGCATGTGAAATTACAAATTCAACAGTCCACCTAATGTTTACTGCCCTACAAATATTTGAAAATTAGTGAAATTTCTGAATTGAGTCCAAAAATCTCCACCTGACATACAAAGAAAAAAATACTGAAATGTCTTAAAAATGAACAGGACAACCGTACCAAAAGAAAATTCCTCAATTCTCTTCTGCAAGAAAGGCACAGCTTATTCTGCATGAAACATGTGTCTCAAAGCTGATTTCAGTTAAATCGGTATAGACAGCATACATGTCAAACAGAAACAAAACCTTTATAAAAGTTTAAGAAAATGTCCCTCCATTCTCCCCCCTTATGGGTAAAGCAACATATGCAAAGCATTACAGTTGGAGACATTTCTGAATATAATCTAATTTTCTTGGTATTTTGTTCTGCAAGCATGCTACCAAGCATCCAGGCTCTTCCTTACATCTGACAAGCACTTTACATGAAGCATTGCAAAGTGAATTCCCCTTTCTCCCACATTACTTTTGACAATGTTTCTTAGAACTAAAGCTGGTCTTGCCTTTCTCTTCGCAGTCAGTATTTTGCACAAGATGCCTGGCTATGACACTCGAACATGCAATTAGCAACATTCTTTGGAAAAATAAATAAATAAATACATTGATCTAAATAGAAAGGGATTGAAAAATCTTAATACATCTGGACAGCTTCACAAAGTCATCACAACATCTCCATTTACTGCATTTCATCTTGGTTAGCTCCTAAGAATTTCCTGCATCTACAGCACAGAAATACATCACCCCATTATGAATCCACATCCTTTTCTCTTCCGAGGCTGGACGGACATCTGCACTGAACACGAAGCAAATACCAACTCTGTCCTAGGACTTCTGTGTCAGCCGATGAGAAATTGGGCATTAACATTTTTACTACAGCACCACCTTCGAGGAAAGTGACTGAATCCTTTCATGACTGAAGACGTTGCTTTCTTGTTTCCCACAAGAGCCTGTTGTGGGCAATCTTCAGTAAATATGTCATATAGCATAAATAAAAGAACTAACTTTTAAAAACAACTTAGTATGTAAGTACCTAAAGTATTTTGGCGATGTGTTTACTAATCTGTGGGTGCCTCATCCATCTGCCAACACAGACAAAGGTTGTTTTTTTTTCTTACCAAAGAGCATTGTAAACTCATGTTCACTCTCTACTCCTTCACTTAAATGAAAGGGTCAGAAGATCCAGGCTGAATGTCAACCCTGTCTTTGTTCAGACCCCAACTATTATCCCTAATGATAAAGGTACAGACCTTGCACGGTACAGATCTGCCTTAGAAATAAATCTCACGCAGTTTCACAAAACAAGTGCCTAATTAGGGCTCATCTGCACCCCTTGTTACAATTTCCAAATGAAATCAAAGGACTTCCAGTCCTCTGTAAATGCGTCTTACACTTAACCATTTGTCTTGAAATACAGACTTCAGTTTTAAAATATGCACAGATAGCTAAAGATCAAGTGATCTGAATCTATTTGTGCATATTTAAACACTGCTGCTATCTTAGGATTTTGTTTAATGTTAGTATACCAGTAAATTCCTTGATCTGTAAAGAGTCTGAGGTTTCTCAGTGAGGCCATACTCACACAGTAGATATTTAATTTATACTATTCACTGGAGGGACCTTTTGAACAATCCTCTCCTTTTGGCATCTCTCAGCTAGAGCATGTCTTGAAAAAAACACTTAATTATAGAAAATCATTGGAAAGCTAAAATAGTTCTCAAACTTTTATGGCTTTTCATACTTACTGAGGGTGCCACTGGCTTTTTGGGGGAGGGGAGAAGAAGGGGAATTAAAACATACGCTTTTCCCCTGGTTTATTCATATTAAAAAAATGAATCCAATGTTTTTATTAAAGTTGTGGAATTCAGCCACTTTCGTGTGAGCAAATTATCAAAGGGCGTAATTGCTAAGCACTACATAAAGGGCACCGAAAACACTCCTATTGCTCCCAAAAAATAAATACCCCCTGTTTCTTAAGGTACCGTAACCCTATTTCTAATGACTCCTTCCTCTTCTTAATGTAAAACGCAGCTAAAATTCATCGCACTGAGTAATGTACTTATTTTATGCACAGAGCAAAATCCTAAATGTATTTATCCAGTGAAAGCCTTTATACACATATTTTCTAATACTGATGTGAAAATTAAAACCTTAAGGGTAAATATCGCAGAAACACTAACAAACTTCATTTATTAAACCATGTAAAATAATCCTTGCTCTTTAGTTGCCTACAACAGGATATAGCATCCCAACTAGTGGCACAGGCAATAACCCTGCTCTAATAAGTAACACAGGAACCTGCTGAAGGCAAAATCAATAGAGCCTGATTCCCAAATTATCTGAATATTTAGTTTTTCAAACATTACACACCAAGATCTTTCAGAGCCAGCTTATCTTTTTCTGCCTTTCTAAGCTAACTGCATAAGTACTGCTTGTAAAAACTATTTGCCCATGCAAAGTGAAATAATCACAATGCCATGCTCATTTACACACAAAATGATTTTGTGTCCCATTGTGCTCACAGTTGTTCAGCTCTCTAGGGGTGATTAAACTAGCTATGCTGCTACAGCTTGAGATGATTTCACTGAATCGTTTCTCCATGAAGTTGCTTCTTTGCTAAGCTGTTATTTTAACCATAAAAGGTAAACAGAAGGCAGTTGTAAGAGCTCCATTCAGCTCCGTGCCCAGGGCTATAACCCTAGGGCAGAGAATGCTGAAAGACTGCAGAATTTTCCAGGGTGTTGCCTTTCTTGCTCTAAAGCCTTCAGGAATACTGTTCATTTAATACACACTCTAGATGATACATTTCAGATCCTGCTAAAAGAAAGACTTCAAAAGTGTAAGAACTTTTGGGCGGATGAAGCTTTCCCACCTCTGCACATAGCTCGGGGCCATGGTAACCAATACTGCTGCTGATGTTGGGAAAATACAGCAAAAATAAACTGCACAGAACAGAGCAGACAGATAGGGACAAGGGAGGTGAAAGGTTGCAGGAAAGAACCAGGCAGCAGTCTGGAAGGGATAACGAGAAGAAAGGGGAAAGCATGAAAAAGGAGGCGGCTCTGAAGGAGGGACAAAGTTAAATCAAGGAGCAGGCACTTAAAAGACTACAGATGGGAAGCAAGACTAATTAAGGATGTAAAAGCGCTTTGTTTCTAAAGTTTATTGTTGCCAGGATAAAAATTAATTGAAACTAATGCTGTTATTCACTCGTGCAGTTTAATGCCTTCATGCACATTTGAGACGTGAAATGCAAACGGCAGGTTTAAG